ATAATGGAATAATATATATAATGATTCTGAAACAAATAACATTATTTACTAAGTGACAAAGGGATACTCTTAAAGACTCATAATATGATATTGTTGATTTCAGTTATCTTCACAAAAACAAATTGTTTATTTCTGTATTAATAATTAATATTTTATATTAATGGTAATATTTACATTCATGTTAATATAAATACTAGTGGCAATGTTCTGTGAGCTGCTCTTAGGCATGTCCACTCGAGTTTAAGTATTTCCATAAATTTGCAAATATGATTTAGTAGAGCTCCAGTCGAGTATCTCTCACTGCTTACGCAGCTATAAGACAGAGTGTCTCCCGCTCCCCCTCTCCCCTGTGTGTGTGTGCTCCTCTGATATATTGAGTTAAGCTAAGAATTTTTATTATACTCGCTCTCTCATCAGCGATTGAGTTAATTATCATTTGAATTGTGTTCTGGCCGGACAATTGTTATTTGTTGCGCGGCGTCGAATGTGGCCAACGTCAAGATGTCCTTTTGTGGCTGCCCAGTTGCTGTCTTCTCTCTAATTTATGTTGCGAATAAATGTGTCGCAAATCATTATGCGGAACATTTTTCTACTTGCTTTTGTTATTGTTTTTGTTTTTGTTCTTGTTTTCTTGCAGTGTATGCGCAGAGTGTTGGGAACTTTATTTAATGGCTTGGAAATGGAAAAAATAAACAAAAAGCAGCAAACAAAACAAGAATAGAGAAAACAGCCGCAAACCAAGACGGAAACAATGCCACAGTCACAGTCACAGTCATAGCCAGAGCAACTGGAGTTGAATTGGGAGCAGCAAGTGGAGCAGGTTCCACAATGATGGCCCATTGGGGCTGCTGTTGAACGGACCATCTAAATATAGACACAAATCACAAAAAACTCAGAAAGCGAAAGACGCAAGCTATAGCTATTGTTCCCCTAGCTCTTGGTGTTGTTGTTGTTGTTGTTGATGTTGTTGTGGTGGCTGGAAAAGGAGCATATTAAATCAAAAAGTGGTGCAACTGCGTCGCCTTGCTCGTGCAGCAAAAGTTGAGTGAAACTAACGCACAGACACAGGCATCGACACAGGCACAGATGAGGATTAAAGGCAACGCGTCGATGGCAAGGACGATGCTGAAAACGTGAAAGACGTGAACGTTTAACGCCTGCAGGATATTTATGATCATTAATTTTCTTATTGTACTCAGCTCTGGGCTCTGTGCTCTGTGCTCGTGCCCTGTGCTCCAACTCTGGCCGTGCTCCAGCTCCAGCTTCAGCTTCAGCAACGGTTTCAGTTTCAGTTTCAGAAGTGCCGACTTCGCTCGTAAGCGATTTATTAAAATGTGCAGCAACACGAAAACTGAAAGGCGGCCAAAGGACAGCTGTCTGTGGCATGAGCATGGCATGAGCTCCTCGCCACACTCCACACTCCACAGTCAACGTGCCGCCGCGTATGAAATGTGCGCCCATTTATTTATACACATCGCTGCGCCGCGCCCACCAATCGACAGAAATGAGTTATAAAACTTCAATAATCTCGGCGAAATGTTTATTTATGTTTAGCACGAGAGCCAGCTGAGCCAATTGGCGTGGCGTGGGGTCGTGGTGGGGGTGCGCCAAGCTCAAGGGTCTGGGTATGCAAAGGACCGAGAAGAAACAGAAAAAGAGAGAGTCAGAGTGAGGGTGAGAGAGAGAAGGCCTGGGGCCCGCCATTACAATATTTGCATCATGTAGGAGGCGACGTTGGGGCGATGTACGGCGAGTGGGTGCTTGTGGGTGGTGCAAGGAACACTTACAGTGAATCAATAACAAAATAAATCGTTTTACAACCGCAGGACATTGTATTGTGTTACACAAAAGATTGGCAATGCCACGCCAATGGCTCCACACAATCCTCCTCAGAGCCAAAGGGAAAGCGAAAGAAACGACAGCAACAACAACAACCACAACAACAACAATGGAAACACGCAGCACAAGTACAGCAAACAATACCAGGCACTTGGCACAGCGAAAACAAGCAATGAAAGGATATTATAGTAAAAGTATTTACAAGATGAAAACGAACAAAGGCGAACGAATAGCACCTGGCCAGGACGCGCTGCACACACAGGGCACAGGTAAGGCGAAAATATATAAAGTGAAAGGAAGTAGAAAGTATAAATCGTTGCAATCAATTTTTGCTATGCGGTACGAATTGATAAACTGCCCAAGCAGCTCCCTCCTGCTGCTGCTGTTGGTGTTGTTGGTGTTGGTGTTGGTGCTGCTCGTGTTGCATCCGCAGAGCTTGGTTGCTGCGTTGCTGCAAGCCGATACGCCAGGTGAGCTGCCTGGGCGCTGCCTGTCCTGTGCAGAGCTTCGATCTGGGTTACCTACATAGCTCTTAAAGCGAGCGCCATTCGGCTTTGTGTCTCCTCCTTTGATATCCCCCAACTGATTGAATTGCAGCCAAAGGAGGGTATATTGATTGTGCAGATAGATGGGAAGCGTTTCTTAACCAGCACTGAGATGCAATCTCTTATGGCGTGCAATAGATTTACACTTGCTTACAGGGTAACCTAAAGTCGAGCAGTTGCCTTTCCTGCGAATCAATCTAGTTTACGATTTGTTTTTGGCACAAGTCTCTCCATTAGTGGGTGTGGCCTGCAAATGAAGCATCAGTTGAGTTCAACTTTGGTTACTGAGCGCTCTCTCTGTCTCCCTCTATATCCTTCTGTCTAGCTCTGGTCATGCGATGCTTTATGGATTGGTGCACATTTAATTTGTATTGTAGAGCGAATGGAAATGACTGCACTTGGAAAGTTCTTTGCGGTTGCAGCTCGTTATTTTAATACTCATTATGTTTTGTTATTTTACAGCACTGGCTATGAACACTACTACATCTATCTCACTCATTTAAGCGTAGCCCACATATTCGAAATTGAAGAATCGGGCACAGCAGCTCCAGAAACTGAAGTGATCAAAATCAGTCACATAGCGACTCTAGACTGATGTCAGCCTACGCCCATGTATGGCTTTATATACATATAGCTGCCTCTTGGCACATGTCCGTACATATAGCTGCCTCTTGGCTCATGGCCGTATTCGTCTCGTTATCTCTAAGCAATGCAACATTTATTTATTAATTACTGCCCATCGGATTCTATTTCAACTCAATCAATGCGCGTATATTGCCATCGTTATTAATTGTTGATAAACGGCTTAAAGGCGTAATCGATAGGCCATTTGATTGCAAAGCTGTGTGAGCCAAGTGAGAATTGAAATCGATCAGAATATGTGGGGTGGAGGAGTAGGCAATGAGAGTGGCGAGAGTCGCCTTAACAAAGTTTGGGCCATTCTTGGTTGCATTCTGGGAATATTGAAGTTTATTCAGCAACTCAATTATGCTCACTAAGTTCTCTTTTATTATGATGAATGTATTGTATATGAATTGGTTAATTAGGTTCTGAAATTTATATATGAGTAGTTGCTACCAAGCCTATCGCATCAGTTCTTCTTCGACTAAACAAAGTGCACTTGACGTATGTGATAATCGCCGTAGTAGTCCTGAAATATCTGCAATGGGTTGCCCTTGCGGCAGCCGTTTTCGCAATTGCAGCCGAAGATGTTGCACGGACCCTGGCCGCAGTAGGTGCCCTGGACGGCAGTGCCGTCATCGCAAATGGACATCGTGCACATTCCAAACTGCGACTGCTTGGCGCCGTATAGCCGGCATTCATCTTCCCGATCGATCAACTGGAAGGCGATAACTCGGGAGGGGCAGCAGACGCCTTTGGTGGGCCTGAACTGCTGCAGCAATGAGCCCAGCCCCAGCCACAACAGGAGCCATTGGGGCAATGGGCTGAGAAACATGTTCTATTAAATTATTAAACAATTTTAGAGGTAGTGTAAAGTGATTGTGTGTAGCTGCAATTGAAGGCAGATCTGAACTTATTTATTTATTTTTGTACTCTTCTATACAATTTTGAGTGGAAAATCTAATATCGCTTAGATTGTGCTTATAAAATATACATGAATATCTCATATTAAATCTCATATTAAATCATTAAATGCAAATAGAATTGTTAATAATCTTCCAGCAATTCCTCACTCTACGCAGCTGCAGCCACCATAACCGATTAAGCCACGGAGCGCCGTCAAGAATATTATGGTAAGGTTACGTATACGCCGCATGGGCTTGCACTCGTGCTCAAAATGAAATTTATATGCAGGATAGAACAGGCAGAGAGATAGAGCAAGAGCGAAAGGGAAAGGCAAAGGGAAAGGGAGAGAGTGTGTGTGCGTGAGTGTGAGCGAGAGCGACATACTGTCGCTGTATTGGGCAAGTAAATATTTTATAATTTAATCAACATAAAAGCAACAAAGGCAATGACAATGGAGCCTGCACGACTGTCAGGAGGCGACGCGACACTACGATACGCCTCTGTGGTTAAGCGTGGGGAGTGGCACAATAAAATTGGTAAAAGAAACGGGAAATGCCAAAAACGAATGTCAAATACGTTGCGCGATAATGTTTAATGATAAGCAGGCGAAGGGGACGAGGCGAGCAGGGGCGAGTCGAGGGGAGTCGAGGCCAACTTGAAATACAGTCGGCAATAGTCAAAGATGTTTATCGTGCGACGAGTGTGCGACAATAAAAGCGAAGACAGCAGCCATGTGGCGAAGTAGGGACGGCGGGCGGTGGGGCGGGCGCAGAAGACAGTGTGGCTGCCACTGACAAATGGACCATGCCTGACATGAAGGCAATCTGCCAGGGGGGAGGGGAGTGAGAGAGTGGGAATGTGAGATCCCGTTGTGTCATCCAAACAATGGACAAGTTTATATTTGCATTTATTTCTATTAGGCGCACATTTGTCAAAAGCTGTTTATGCGCCTCGGGCCAAGATGAGATCTTGATCTGTTAGCCAACTCGCCGGGCCGACTTTAACATGCCAAACGGCAAGGCTGTGCTTTAAGTAACTTCCAGCCTGTGCCTCTGCAATAAAATATTTATTCGGTATTGTCGTGCACTTTTATTTGACATCATAAACAAAAGCCACGAAAGTGTAAACACAACTTGGCTCAACATGCGTTCGCATTTGGCAGGAGGTTGTTTGCACTCGTTTCTACTCTTTTTGTTGCTGTTGGTGTTGGTGTTGTTGTTGGTGTTGCTGTTGCCGTGTTGTTGACTTATTTAAGCCATAAAGTGCTCTCGCGCACACACGCACACACGCACACTCGCACACTCGAATATTGACACGAGCACGTGTGGGTGTGCCAAATTTAACGCCCCTGTACGCACGTTCATAGACGGAGACAATAGCAATGGCAAAAAGCAAACAACTCCAACGCCAACCGTTAACAAATACTATAAAAACGCTGAAACGACTTTTGAATACTCTTTGGGTGGCAACTGATATAGGAAATTGGGGATTGGTGGATTAGCAGTGCTCTGATGCATTGGAGTGTCTACTCAGTCGTTGAGTAGTAGACTAGGTAAATGTGTAAGAGTTTTAATGATTGATAGCTATTTAAGAGCTACTGGACTACTTGACTTCAAAGTAGTCCAGCAGCTCTGCAGAGTATGGTGGTCTCAGCTTTATCCAAATTCTTAAGCTGCAGTGCATAGAAGCCTCGCCAGAGTCTAGTCTCTCAAACTCCTGAATTTTGTTTTCAATTTGTACCTTTTTGAGGTCATGCTCGCTGTCTGTAAATTTCAGTAATGTCAAGAAATAATCTGAGAGAGTAGTTATTATATTCCCCTATTGAATATCTCCTTCTCAGCTAATAAATCTTTCGCGTACGCAATCAGGTTTGTTAACTTGTCTTGCCGTCTTTCATCATAGGCTCATAATTTTCAAGCAAATAAAAAGTGTTTTCCATTTGATATAACGATGCGCTGGTATTCTCTCGCAAATATCTATTTATTTTAGCAAACCAATTTTATGTTATTTTCCATTTTATAAAACCAAACTAATGGAAGTGAAAACCCAATTTTGTATAAATATTGCGAACTAATTTATGGCTTATTTATTCCGGAACAAATCTCGCTACAAATTTACTATGCCCGTTGCTTGGGCATTAAAAAAAAAAGACCGGCAGCAGTTCAAAATCGCATAAATTTTTGGCTATACACACTCAAGTATGTGGTGTGCGTGTGAGTGTGTGCTGGTGCATGTGTGTTTGTTCTTGGCATTGCTCTTGACGTGTTTTGGATTTCATACTCCGGTTGGGTTTCCTTTTGCTTTTCCCTTTTCGGTTTTCGGTTTTCGTTATTTCGTATATTTTGTGTTCATGTTGTTGTTGTTGTTGTGTTGCCAATAGATTCGTTGACCCCGTTGCCTACTTTTGGGCGAGCGTCTTTCTCTTTCTTGGCCAAGAGCCCGAGGCGCCACAAGTGGTCGCAGCATCGCTGCTATTTGGCATTCTGTGAATTTTCGTAGTGGATAATATTCATATCGTATCCGAATTGGTGTGGAGCCAATGTTGACCAACTTGTATGGCAGCTCATTATGCATCTCTGGAGGCGTGCGAATAGGGCGTGTTCCCGGCTTATATATGTGTGCATGGGTGTGTGCGTGTGCATATATAGCATATCCACAACAATTTGTATTTATGTCCTTCTTATGCATTTTATGGCGTTGCTCAAGCAAAGGCTGCCCCTCAACCCATACACACATGCCACACGCAATCGCCCAGAGGCCGCCCCGCAGCGTATCGCTGCCCCAGTCCCCACCTCCACCTCCTGCAGCAGTTTTTGTTTACGCTTAACGCTGATGCTGGTACGGCTGCTATGGCTGCTGGTGGCGCCCCTTGGACGGGCCACCTTCGTCGCTTACGTGCCACGCATATAAATTATTGTATCTCGGGCGTATTAAAAATGTACGAGTGCTCATCTTGTTATCCTGTTGTGTAAGCGGATTATGTCGGGCATAAATGTCATGCGTTGTGCGGCTGTTGAAACCACGACACAGCCAAAGGCTCCTATCTTCTGTATCCGCCTCTTCTCGCACCGACGACGACCTTGCCGTGCCATGCCGTAACTTCTTGTCCTTTGCGCCCTCTCCTCTCTCTCTCGCGTTCCTTTCACTCACTTTTCATACTCTAGTCTGAAAACAGGTGAACTGGGCTATTATGAAATTTACCAAATATGAATTTATATAAGCTAAGTTTTCCCAAATTCAATTAATGCTTGAATGTGAATTTCTTGAATTGAATTTTGTTGCCAGTTTAAAGGGCTGTCATAGACATTTTAAATATTAAATATAGAGAAAACTGTCTGTGTAATTCAGTTAAATGAAATTCATTGAAATTTATATAAAAACGGAGGAAGTAACATTAAATAAAATTAAGTTATATACTTGAAGACTCTCTCTTACTTTAGTAAGTGTATTCATTATTCGGCTACTGCATCCGCACATTGGCTCAATCGTATTTTTCCTTCGCTTTTGTGTGCCGCAGCGATTTGTGTGGAGCTGTTTTTCTGCCATTTCGTATTAAGCATTACGCAGCGTCATGCACGTGTCCTGCGTCCTGCACCCCTTGCTCCACTGGCCATTGACAGCATTTTGATTTTACTTTTATTGAAATTTAAAACCGTCGCTCGCCGGCGACAATCGATGGCCGCCAATAGCACACAATTTGCACATAACTTGCGCTTAAAATCGTTAACCGATTTCGATGGGCGACCGGGTGAGTGGAGAGAGGGGGGCCGGAGCAGCAGGCAGCAGGCAGAAGGCAGCGAGACCACTGCAGTGCAGTCGTTAATGCCAGCTTCCGATTTCATTTCAGCATTTTCGGTTGAGCTTTGCACGAATGGATGCAAATATTACAGAGTGGATTTTTCAGCGAGTCGAATGTTTGCAATAGCCCCAAAAATGTTATTGGATGCAGAGAATTGCAAACGTGGCAGCTGCAGCCGCTTATCGCGGCAGCCAATGTGGCAGCTGCTTTGTGGCCTGCACCAATATGAGTTAAAAGTAATGTCATTGCTGATAGCCAAAGCCAAGTGGCCAACAGTAATATATCAATGTGAGCCTAAACAGAAACCAAATTACAATTGAAGTTTTGCTTTGGCATACGTAAGTTGATGGCCTGGGAATACAATAGCTGACTAAGAGACAGATGGAGATGGAAGCAATAGGTAGGGCAAACAACTAATTATCGTGACTGCCAACCGTATGCCTTCTACTCAGTCACCTCACAAATATTCAATTAACGCACAGCTAACGAGCACACAATGAGGATATTATAATGCCAAATCGATAATTAGTCATACTTATATAAAAATAATTAGATCGAAATATTGTTTAATTGGCAATGCTACGATAATTTCGTATCAAATTGAAATGATGTTGATGCCTGGGCTTGTGGGTGTGGCATGGCTTCGTGGTTTGCTGTTTGTGCCACATCAGATGTCGCACAAGTTGGTTGCACTTATGATAAACTCCCTGGGCTTGGCAAGATTTATGCGGCTGGCTGGCAGCGCAATAAGCGTCTTGCAAATGTGGCAAATGCGATGATCTAGCCAGATGCTGCAACATTTTGCGGCAAGCCTTGCCACTCCGGTTGGCCGGGCAATCTGTCAGTTGGCATCGCTCTGCCCCATTGCTAATGGAGATTCGGGCCTGTTATGAGCTTACCGATATGGCCAAACACCAAAGCCTTAACTGCCACGCACAAGCACAGGCACACAAACAAACACACACGCACATGTACACTTGGGGAAAATTATGATAATTTAAATGAATTTTCGACTATGGCTGGCTAGGAACTGGCACGTATTAAGGGTTTAATATATGATTTTTTTAAATTACCTTAAAATTTGTATCATCTTTGCTGAATATTGGTAAAGACTCTTTTATATTAATATTATGTTCATAATCAGTTTAATCTTCAAAGTTTTTATACAACTTGAAGCTTGC